AAATACAGGAGCCCCACAGGGCTGTGTTCTTTCTCCCCTGCTCTTCTCCCTGTATACCAACCACTGCACCTCCAGCCACGACTCTGTGAAGCTGATCAAGTTCGCGGACGACACCACCCTCATTGGACTCATCTCCAACAACGATGAGTCCGCCTACAGGAGGGAGGTGGACCGGCTGGTGTCCTGGTGCAGTGGTAACAACCTGGAGCTGAACGCCCAGAAGACAGTGGAGATGATTGTGGACTTCAGGAAGAGCACTGTCCCCCCACCCCCACCCTCCGTGATGGACTTCCCCATCACTTCTGTGGAGTCCTTCCGTTTCCTGGGCACCACCATCACCCAGGACCTCAAGTGGGAGCCGACCATCAGCTCCCTCATCAAGAAGGCCCAGCAGAGGATGTACTTCCTGCGGCAGCTCAGGAAAGCCAAGCTGCCTGCACAGATGTTGGTGCAGTTCTACACGGCCATCATCGAGTCCATCCTCACCTCCTCCATCACCGTGTGGTTCGCTGGAGCCACAGTCAAGGACAAACAGAGACTACAGCGCATTGTGCGCTCTGCAGAGGAAGTGATCGGCCGCAGCCTTCCATCGCTGCAGGACCTGTACGTCGCCCGAGCTCGAGGCCGGGCTGGTCGTATCACAGCCGACCCCTCTGACCCTGCACATGGACTATTCCAACCACTCCCCTCAGGCAGGAGGCTGCGGTCCATCAGGACTAGAACCTCCCGCCACAAGAACAGTTTCTTCCCCTCTGCTGTTGGACTCTTGAACACTTCTTAACCTGTCCCCCCGCCCTTTATAAAGTCACTTTACTGCCCATCATACGTCACTTTACTTCACTGTACTGCTGTCACCTTACATTGTGTGCACCATGTGCACTTGTATATTGTAAATGGTAACTGTAACTCTATTAAATTTAAATACATTTAAATTTATTCCTTAGAAGTGTTTTTTATTCTTTATTGTTATTCTTTATTTTTATTATCTCTTTCTGACTGTTGCACTGAGCCAAAGCAATTTCCAAGTCTGTGACTTCCTGTTACTTACGTGGCAATAAAAATGATTTGGATTCTGATTCTAAAATAAAATAAAAACTCAAATATAACCCTTCATTTGATGTTGGTGGTTGGTTCAGTAAGTGCAATTGGAACTAGGGGAATTTTTACTAATGATGCCTGTTTTGGTTTTTGTGGGAGAAAACAGAGTGCCCGGAGGAAACCCACTTAGACACTGGGAGAAACACACAAACTCTGTACAGAATGGCCCGGGCCGACATGGGATCAAACAAGGGAAATGAATTGGAAACAGTGGGGGAAAAAAACAAATTTAAATGTAAAGAGTTAGTGAAATAGATCAAATAAATAATCACAGATAAGAGTATTGCATTTAGAATTAAATATATACAACTATATCCTTGCTTTACATTGAAAGGGCCACAGTAAGTTTATGCTAACGAAGACTGAATTCTCTTAAACAGACTGCACGGTGGTGTTTCGTGTGGAGTTTGCATGTTCTCTCCATGTATGTTATCTCCTGGTGCTCCGGTTTCCCCTACCACTAAAAACATATACAAACGGGAATGAATGTAATGGAAGAGTGAATGGATGGTGATGGTCGAGACTTCAATGCTCCGGGCGTTACGTGTCTTCTGGGATTGGACATCACTGGTATACAATAATTGCAAAGCACTGACCTTGGTTTTTGAAATGCACTATATTAATAAAGATGACTTACTTACTTGTTTACCAATGCTTTTGTATCCAAGATAACTTTATGTATTGTCCGGACTTCTTCATCTATTTAAATCTGTATCTTGGCAGCATCATTTACAGTAAGTCCTCTCCCACAGTAACCAAACCCAATTCAAGACTATCTTCAGCTTGAAGTTCCTCCATATCCAAACATGGAGCCTAATAAAAGAGGAATGCTCGCTGTCTGCGGTACTTTTTTTCAATCCGGTGCCACACAGAAAAGCAAAGAGGCTGTCGACCTGAGGCCGAGGTAGAGCAGAGGATGTGTAGAGCCGGGCCGCTTTTGTAGAGCAGTTTTCGGCCAATGAATGAACATGTGAAGAAGATCAAAGAGAGAAAAGTGAAAAGCAGATTCCAGAGCGCTGCCTGGCTGTATATGGTGAAAGTATGAACGCGCACTAACTCTCTGCCCGACTCAAACGATAGAGAGACCCCTGCCCCGTCACTCTGGTCAGAATGCTCTCAGGGATCTGATGGGAAAACTGTCATCGCTTCTATTCGTCACTTTTGATAAGGATTTTTCTTCATTCATGAGAACCTTTTTTACAGACATTTTTTAAAATACCACAATATTTATCCCCATCCATTTATCCGTATGTGTCACTCTTTAAAGCTGGGGTGTCTGACTTTTTTCGGTCATAAAAGACGCATGTTGTTTGAGATCAAGTTCAATAATCTGTATTTACAACAAAAAAAGTTTTTATAACAGTCCATAAACTTTACAATTTACTGATTTGTGAGAACGTTGTATGAGAGAACTCCCAGTCAGTCCCAGACTGTTTTAAATGTCAGTGTTTTTACTTACTTTTTTTTTTTTTTAATGTAAGACAATTTTGAGTGTCTAGAAAGGCACCTAAGAAAATGTTTTATTATCATTGTTAGTTTATACATGTAGGTAGTGGTCCCAAAACATGCATGCAAGAAGAATAATCACAATAAATTAAAACCCTAAAATATGCCTTTTCACACATTCTTCCAGTTTCAGTTTGTATGGACCTGTTTAACGCCAGACAATAATTGCACAGACTGGCATCCCAAACACACCAGCCCGAATAAAAACAACCAAACAACAGCAGGTGCATCGCTGTAGTTTGTACATGACAACTTGGCACACACATTCACAATGCGTAACTGTTTTCACACATACAGTATTGTGTCCTTAATAAATATTAATAATAATTTCTCTAGTCATAGGCAACAATTTAACTTTAAATGCATTGTAAATTATGCTTTATCTAAACAACTTGAATGCATGTAGCAGTTGAACACTAGTCTTGTTACATTTTTACCATAATACTGATCTTTGTGTGTCAGTAAAGTGGTTTTCTCATTTCTCATGAAGTCGTGTGGGAGGCAGCATCCTCACTTTGACAATGAGGCAGTGTGCTCCAGATGTGGCCTGTCAAATACTACACTACTAATGTCCTTAAGACTCGCCATATAGGAAAAATCATGAATCTCACTGAAACGCCGGCACAAAATGATGATTAAAACGATAAAAAGATAAGAGAGGTGACCTTTCACTGGTTATGGTGGGAGAGATTTAAAACATATACATGTGTTTGTATAGAGCAGTTGAAGTTCCTTAAATGGGCATGAGCTCTGTAGTAAAAAAAAACTATATTCTGACTGAGTTTCGGGAGAAGAATGCGAGATATACTGCCCGATACCATGTCAAAAATATACAGACAGGCAGCTACTTTCACTGGATATTAATATGGGTATTCCTGGAAATGGACGTTCTATTGAAGGCCCACATCAGTGCATGTGGTTCAGTTTATTTGCTTTTTCTTGAACCCATGTTAAAAGTGTTTATCCCAGACATGTCAAGGGAAAGGAATTTTATTAATCAACACTATAAACAAAATGACCTCAGCCTCTTCTTTGATTGACTAAGATTAAAACCCTATGTGCAGGGTTTATCACGTTTTAATTGAGCTGTATGAAGTCATTTCTAATTGTCAATTATTAGATTAGCTAGATAGGTTGCAATTTATGTAAGATCCTAACATTCCAAAGTGTCTTTAGTTTGAATAACTAGAGGAGGGCAGCTGGAGAAAAAGTCAGATTTTAAGTCTTAGTTTAGAGCTAATTTCGCTGTCATTCCTGGGCCAATCCACAAAATCTCACAATATTCCCCAACGTTTTTGTGAATATGGTGGCAATTAAAAATATATATACAAAAGTATGAAGAACTTTAGTTTATTATTGTTTGTCACATGTACCTCCAGCAGATGTTCAGTACCGTTTTTGGAACACACTGTTACGACCCGGCTCAAGATGGTAGAATGGTAACTAAAATCACAATTTATTCAGATGTCAAAATAGGTAAAACTGGTAACAAAAATAGGATTAAATATCTATGAAACACACGGAGTAAATAAATAACCTATAAAACGAGTAAGCACTAAACAAAACCAAAGGTGTATCTAAACTACAGAAGTCACTTAACTAAAGTTACAAGTGACATAACACAGACAAAACTAAATGGCGAACTGGAGTCCACTGACTTCAGCTGCCCCGAGCCGTGGAAGATTGGCAGTTTATAAGGGTGGGTCCTCCAGGTGAGCGCGCGCTGATTGGAGGACTGCCTCAGCTGCTGCCCAATCAGCACCCAGGCATCGCAGTCAATCAGCTCCAGGTGGGAAACGACTGGCCAATAGGAGCCCAGGACTCACGAGCGTGGTCTTCTGTAAAAGGAGGAAACACAAACAGACGGCGACACCACGGGAGAAACTAAAGTGATCTCCACAATAGGGAATTACGGGCCGTGGGCCTTATCACACACGATAAAAGAATAACACAGAACCAGAGACAAAGTTAGGCCTGGTAGAGTAAGTAAGTAATGTTTATTTTATATAGCGCATTTTACAGACCAAGGTCACCCAAAGCACTTTACAATGTTCAGAGTTCAGATATTATTCCAATTATTCCACACACGGTGGTGACGGATGCGAGTCGCCGAACACACAGCAGGAGCGTGAACAATCCAGTATTGTTCAGACTTAGCAATACTATGGCACGTTTGTGAATATAATTGGAAGCATTTGGACATTTTTAAACATTTAATTCAAAACATTTAATTTAAAAAATCCTACAGTTGAATTGGCATCTGCCCTCCCACTGATATAGACTTCTCGAACATGAATGCAAACCTATTATCTGTCACACAAAAAATTGCAGGAGATGGGCCGCTAACTGACTTAACATTACACAGCACTTAAACTCTTTTGGGATGTATGTTGCAGGTATAAAGACTACAGAGAGCCTCCTTGGTCTCCGGATGCATATCAGTTCTCCAAACAGTACTGGTGTGTGCTGGCCGCTAGACTGGCCTTCGTCATCCTCTTTCAGGTGAGAAACTCGGGAAATTAAAACATTATTGAAAATTCAGTTTTTGTCTGTTATTCAACTTATTCAGGATACAATGACCCAGCTTGTTAAAACTCCAAAGTCTTTATCATGAAAATCTTAACAAAGGCATATGCGGCTCCAGAGACATTTTATAGAGGGAGCAATGGTGGAGGGAGCGGCTGATTATGCAAAGGTAGGGGTGGGTTCGAGACATTGTAACGAGAGATTATATTATTAAATAGATATTACATCAATAGTCAACGGCCATTAGTGTCTGTCAGACTGTACACAAATATTCCTGAATCTGTATCTGCCATTCATCTGCGATAATAATGTGCAATACTGTGGTCTAAAGTGTCCTCTAAATAAAATCACTTTACCTGCAGTTTATTCATGGAGAAGATTCTGTTATGAGGCTCTATTTTGGGTTACTGCGCTTTTTTACGAATAACTTAATGACTTTTTCATCCGTACTAGGAGACTGTAAATAAACTAGCCTTGTGGACTGAAGCAGAGAAATTGCTCCATGCCTCTGTTTTCATCTGGAATAGTCAGAGAGGACAATTAGTAACCAATTAAAAACAAGATGAAACGTGTGTGGCTGGAAGAAGTTCCTCTCAACTGTTCCTGAAGTTCCCGCTCTTGCAGACTTGTCCCCAGGCAAGTCTTTTTGAGAAAAGTTTATGTCCCTGGAGGAGCAAGATTTGTTTACTTTGTGCCTGCGTGTGAGCTGGCAAGGGGCCGTTCTGCTCGTGTATCAATGAAGGCAAGGCAAGTTTATTTGTATAGCACAATTCATACACAAGGCAATTCAAAGTGCTGAACAAAACAAGAAAGCAGAACTAGCATAGTTCTCATATCTGTGTCTCGGACTCTCGGATTATAAATACAGGAGCCCCACAGGGCTGTGTTCTTTCTCCCCTGCTCTTCTCCCTGTATACCAACCACTGCACCTCCAGCCACGACTCCGTGAAGCTGATCAAGTTCGCGGACGACACCACCCTCATTGGACTCATCTCCAACAACGATGAGTCTGCCTACAGGAGGGAGGTGGACCGGCTGGTGTCCTGGTGCAGTGGTAACAACCTGGAGCTGAACGCCCAGAAGACAGTGGAGATGATTGTGGACTTCAGGAAGAGCACTGTCCCCCCACCCCCACCCTCCGTGATGGACTCCCCCATCACCTCTGTGGAGTCCTTCCGTTTCCTGGGCACCACCATCACCCAGGACCTCAAGTGGGAGCCGACCATCAGCTCCCTCATCAAGAAGGCCCAGCAGAGGATGTACTTCCTGCGGCAGCTCAGGAAAGCCAAGCTGCCTGCACAGATGTTGGTGCAGTTCTACACGGCCATCATCGAGTCCATCCTCACCTCCTCCGTCACCGTGTGGTTCGCTGGAGCCACAGTCAGGGACAAACAGAGACTACAGCGCATTGTGCGCTCTGCAGAGGAAGTGATCGGCCGCAGCCTTCCATCGCTGCAGGACCTGTACGTCGCCCGAGCTCGAGGCCGGGCTGGTCGTATCACAGCCGAACCCTCTGACCCTGCACATGGACTATTCCAACCACTCCCCTCAGGCAGGAGGCTGCGGTCCATCAGGACTAGAACCTCCCGCCACAAGAACAGTTTCTTCCCCTCTGCTGTTGGACTCTTGAACACTTCTTAACCTGTCCCCCCGCCCTTTATAAAGTCACTTTACTGCCCATCATACGTCACTTTACTTCACTGTACTGCTGTCACCTTACATTGTGTGCACCATGTGCACTTGTATGCTGTAAATAGTAACTGTAACTCTATTTTAAATTTAAATGTATTCTTTAGAAGTGTTTTTTATTCTTATTTTTATTATCTCTTTCTGACTGTTGCACTGAGCCAAAGCAATTTCCTAGTCTGTGACCTCCTGTTACTTACGTGGCAATAAAAATGATTCTGATTCTGATTCTGATCAATGAGAACTACTGAGTCTGTGCAATTCACTGGCTCCAATCCACTGGCCACTTTACTAGTCACTAGTTATTGTACTTGCTCTCATTATTACCACATTTATTACATAAATACATAATATATGGTCATATGCTTTTCTGCTAAAGTACAATATTAACCATCTGTAAAGACCTCATGATGAAGTGACCTATCCTTGAACCGAGTGCAACTATTCCTCCAGGGTTTTATTTTATTTTGTTATTATTTTATTATTCAATTATCAATTACCTTAAATATTAGATAATATTTATAATACCTCTATAATATTTCTTTTTTATTCGGCTGTTATGCGTGCAATGATGACATTGACATTCCCACACTGTGGGACAAACAAAGGTTTATCTTATATCTTATCTAATGCATTCTGGGAACCGGAGTATACCGTCTCATTGATCCATTACTAAGTAAAGATAACTTTTATTCGTCCCTTAGTGGTGAAGTTTCATAATTGTTAAGTTTAATTACAAAAATACATGAAACGTAGGTGTTTTTAGATTACTGCTATGTTAATAAAAGCAAAAATGAATATGTTTTCAAACTGCAAGTTCTATGGTCTAGAATGTGCAATGTATACAAAAATAATGCATAACACTCATAATATTGGAATTCCCTCTGGCCATGAAAATCAAATAGTTTTAGTACTTCAGAATGATAAGCTTTTCATCAGCTATATCATACATTAAAATACAGTGATTTGTCATAAGCAGTGGTTGTGATGATGTGTGGATGTGATGATGTGTGGGCATTAAGCAGAGGGAATGTACTCATCATGTCTGAACCGCTTCCAGATGGCAGAGAAAATGACCAAAGGCTGGAGGTATAAACAGACGCTTGCTTTCATTGCGCACATCTGTCTGACGTCCTTCAGACAAACTCTGATCCATGCAGTCGGATTTCTAGAAATTAACCTTGGTGTGAGAAAAGTTTTCCTAACCTTCAAAACCAATGCAAGTTTACATTTCATGCAGGCTAAAGATGATGTCGGAACTCTTTCATATAGGCAACTTGGTTTTGTGACATCACAGCGATAAGGTCCTGGGTTCAATTCCACCTCCAGATTGGGTCTTTTTGTGTGCATGTTCTGCCTGTGTTAGATTCAATTTCATTTTATTATTTTATAACCCTAAATCACAACAGTAGTTATCTCAGAGGACAACACAAGAAACACAGCTATAAAAACACATAGAGCTATTGGGTCATAGGGGCAGATGACCAATGTCCATGAATGATGATAAATGTTCATAAATGTTGTTGAATGTTAAGTTGAGTGTCCTGAATCACCACCACTGTTCTTTAGTTAGACCCACTTACAGTCTACAGACCCTCCTGCATGGGCAAGCAAAAACTCTATAACCCAAAACAGGGTTTCCTCCGGGTGCCCTGGTTTCCCCTGCTAATAAAAACATGAACATGTCCGGGGTGAATGGGCGTTTGTGAGTGGGACTGTGGGACTACAAATGGAAATTAGCCCAAGGCAACAATCTGGTGTGAAACTGCTGTCCATCAAAGCACAGAGTCCTAATCAAATAAACAACAATAAATAACATATGTTTTTTGTTTTTCTTGTCAGAACCTGGTGATGTTCCTGAGCCTGGTTGTTGCCTGGGTGATCCCCGACGTCCCGAAGACCATCGTGGAGCAACTGAAGCGCGAGAAGAAACTGCTGGTGGATTTATTTCTGCAGGAGGAGAAGGAGAAGTTCCAGCTGATCCAGAGCTTATTCACCAAGGACGGGGCCAACCTCCAGTCGTGCAGTGCCACTCTCCAGTCTGTACAGGGGCCAGCTCTCTTGGGCCGCTACAGCACCCTGCCCCCCATCAACAGTCAGTCAGAGAGCTACCCCCGAGCACGGTGCAGGGCGGCCAGCTTCAGCCAGTTTAGCAGGAAGACGTCCATTAAAGAGAATGACAACTCTGTGCACACCGCGGTCTGACAGGACAAGTGGCTCACGAAAAAAGACTTGTGAAGTTCATAAGAAACATACTTTTCAGATGTAAGCCCCGCTTAAGGACTGTTCAAATCCACTGTTTTGTATCCATAGAGAGGCGCTTAAGCTTCATAGCGTAGATAAGCAATAATGGCTTCTATCAGGCCACAGTACTGATAGTGAGAGAGTGTGCGGTCCGAACGTTTCTGAAATGTCTGTGATTGTTATGAACTGTAAAGCCGACAGTAGCAAATATTTCGTATGTAGATCACTTACTGATGCTATGGTGGAGGATTAGGCTAACCTTGCAGATGTGTTTTATGATTTTCATTCTAAAACATGAGTAAAACTAAATAGATAGTCTCGTTATAATTGTTAATGGACAAAAATAATGCACAATATTTGTTTTTAAGCCTTGCGCATTCACCACTTTAACAATGGAACTCATCTCCATATACGCTCAAAGTGAATTCAAACTAAGAGGAGCTCAGATTTTATTATTATTTTGACATTGCTTTTCCTTGACTGTTGACCTTATCCTCTTCCATATTTGATATACTTTGTGATGATTTATCTGAAATACTGTTTTCAGAATAAGGTTATTACTGCTGCTGCTGAAAACCGCTTTCTAATAATGTATGAATGATATGCCAATTTGGTGCACTGCCACTGTAGACACCAGTCCAAGTTTAGGATTAAGGGTTTGTTCAAAGTCACAGACAGACTCTAGATTTACAGCGTTTAACTGACTTTGTAAATATAAGTTTGAGACTTCACTGACATTCCTTTATTGTGACACACTGAACTGATAACACATTCCTAATATGTTTGCAATACACTGCCATACTCTTAATTATTACTTATTCTGGACTGTTACATGCATCTTATAACCACGGTGTCACTGGCTGATTTGTACTACAGCTCTTCTGGGATTTTGGAGCGGGTAAAAAAAATAATTTGATAATTTTGTAAATACTTCAAAATGATTTGTGCAGGCAACTCACTTCTATGTGGTTTTGTAATGCAGTGTGAGCCAAAAATGGATCAATTGTAGTCTCCAAGCAACAATTTTTTTAACTTTTGATAATAATTATCTGTACCTGTACCTTAATTGCTCATAATATTTGGGTTGGAGAGCATGGATCGTGTTCAAACAGAATTTGCTGGTTTTGTTTGTCTAAAAGGAGCAGTGTGATGGACACATTTTGGGCAGCTTTACAGATCACTCAGTGACGTGTGATGAATCCATTGTAATGTATTGACTGCTCAGAAGAGAAAGCTCAGTTGCTCAGTGGCTTGTTTTCCTTAAAGGCCTTCACGTACCTCTTAAGCCCTGTGTCATCAGTACCGTGTCACACTGTTCATCACCAATTTCATATAGACTTATTAGGGCATGAACCGTCACATACAGTAGATTTGGAGCAATGTATTTTCCTGGCTTCTGTTACAGAAACAAGTGTTCTGAATATTTAAACATATGAATTTAAATTTGAACATGTTTTGTGTTGCTTTGTGTTGCTTTTCTCCCTTTCTTGTTTTTATGGATCTTTGGCCTTCTCTTATAGGTTTGTGAGATTACACACAGGCAGATTTCTGTGCTTTCTAGAATGTTTTGTAACATGGTGAACATGACAGCAATATTGGCATTTCAGAGATGTACATATATATTATATTTGTAATAATCTCTCAGGTATTGTTTCCTTAAGTAGAATATATCTGTATCACTCCTTTGACTTATTGGTCATTCATGTTAAAGACCGTTTATGCCTGGGCTCTCTGCTCATGTGTAATTTCAAGTTTCCAATGCACATAGACCATGGAGGTGAAGAGGGAAAGAACTGGTTCAGATGTATGTAAGTATTTTCCTTTAATTTCCTTTTTGATAAAAATGTAAACAAACAAAAATGTTTCTGAAATGGGCACAGACCAGTGCGTTCTCATCGTTTGCATCTCTATCAAAGTTTTATTCCCATTAAATTATTTGGTAATAAATCCATTGAAATAGACAGAAATATACGCAAACTTCTGAGCTTCAGAAGTACATTTTGTTCATGTCTGAATGGCCATGTACTCTGGATCAGATAATTGTAATAGCATAATAACAAACACAATATCTTGAGTGTATTATTTGTACTTGTAATTGCATCATATGTATATGTACAAAGTCCTTTATGTAACATTGTTTTCACAAAACATTTCTCTTTCTCAAAAAATATAAATAAAAAACAGTATACAGTAACAATAAATGCCAAATCAGTTCAAATTGTGGACTAAACCTGGAAAAAATACATAATAATGTTTTGAACACTTTAAGCACCAGTGTTTTTCAGTAATTGAATGTGAAACAAATAAAGTGTGGGGCCCTTTGACGTAATAGGAAAACGAGAGGACTATTAAAATCCGCAACAGAAATAAATAAAATATGTAAGCCAGGTTGTTGTACAAAGTGTCCTGAATTTTGGACTTTGGTGTCTACAGTGTTAATAGACAAGCACATTCTCACGTATTAATGCATGAAGCTTAAACGTAAATTCAGACTGGGAAGACCTCTGCTGCAGCTCTTACCCCATCCAGGGCCAGCCTCGAGCCTCAGCTAAACACTCCAGCCAGCCCCCCTGCCAACCACTGACAGCTAAGGGGGCAGTTTAAAAGCAACCACTTCCTACTAACCAGCGCTTCTAAAAGCTCTTGATACCCACAGCCTCCCCACCGCGTCCTGGAGCTCCTGCCCTGGCTTTTGCTCTGGGTCCTGCTCCGCCTACACCCCATTCACACCATGCTTCTAGCAACCACCAGTTCTCGACCCCAAGGGATCTGAGATCATCTCAGCAGCAGTGATCTCCCCTCTGCAAGTTTCACTGCCGGGGGTCAATGCGCCAAACAAATAAATCTTTCTAAATGCATTAATGTGTTTGTCTTGGTCTCTCCAGATTGAACTGCATTAAAGCTGCACTAACTGACTTTATTTTTGTATTCATTACGAAAGTGCTATCCATGTCCATGTAGTGCATTGAGATATACGTCCTTTTGAAGAAAAAGTAGCGCAGATTTGTGCTGGCGTGACATTATATTTTAGATCGAGTTTTGATGAAACAAGGAAGAGATGTGTTTCGGGTCGCAGATTGTGACCAATCACTGGCCCCCACTTTCGTGAGAAATCTCCATGTCCGTTAGCACAGACAGCTGAGTTAGCACAATAAGCGGCGGAGCTAACCTGAAACTTCCTCGTCACCGGTTACTGCTTACACAGCGAGACAGCCATCCAAAAGAAAGTCCCGTTCCTCCGCGCTTCCCGGTTCTATCATTCTATGGTCACGCCATCCACGTGAAAATCCATATTCATGTATTATCCATATTGGGAGACGCTAGCTCCGTCCCAACAGTTTGTCTGTGTGGGGGGCGATAGCTTCGTGGGTGCGGGGAGGGGAGCAGAAAGAGCGAGGCCAGCGAGTCCGCGGCTTCAAAATCAGTTAGTACAGCTTTAATGAATGTTTTACTTGCCCTATTTGAAAACCAAGATTAAAAAAAACTCATCAACTACTTGCAGAGAACATGGGTTTAGGGCCGAATTAGATTGTTTGGAGGGCCTGATTTGGCCCCTGGCCCAAAAGTGGAATAGGCCAGGTCTGCAGGTTATATGTTCAAAAGAATTACCACTTATCAGTTGGTGGAAACTGATATGTGGTTTTTTCACATTTTCCAACCCCCACGGCCATTTTGACTGTATATATTAACTACTACGTCCGTTAATATATACAATCTATGGTTACAACCCTGCTCTGCTAGTCAGGGAGGTAACATAAAAACAAGATGTTAATTGGATAAGCGAGTATTTTAATAACAGGAATGTAAATGTTAGACAAAAACACAATGGACACCATACATACACTTACTTCGACTAACACAGAAACTAAACTCTTACCCTACTGCTGTCGCAACAAAAGTGAATTGTCACAAAAACTAAGCCTCAAAGTGACAACTGAAAAGAGACAGACCCTATAAAAGTTCTATATCTGGGTGATGGTCTGGGATTTCTCGATTCACACTCTGGGAGCCCTAGTTGCTTTGCAGTGGATCCACTTGTAGCAACCGAGGGGTTAACAGATTGGATAAATAATACAAATAAGATTTTAGAGAGGTTGTAGCAACGCCACCCCAGACTTCCTGGGGAAATAGTGTAGTGTAGATTGAAGGCACACAAGTAAGTGTATTGAAATACAAGGCAACCGGTTCCAGTTAATTCACAGTTTTATTCACGATATATTTAATTAACAATCAATTTTTAATACAGTTAAGATGCTTTCACATTAAAAAGCGCTAATGTAGAAATAAAAGGTTTAGACGAGTTAAATTGCTTGAAATGTCCGCCTGACAGGCAAAACCCAGGGCAAAGAGTGTGCGCGTCTCTGCTCGCGTCTAATGGTGCTTTCAGACCGAAAACGCTGAAACGCAGCAGCCCAGCTTACCAGACGCGCATTCTCTAGTTTTCAGACGCAGAGGCTTGCACACCGCCAAACGACGCACGAACACAAGCACTCCCACCTCACTACACTTCCGCCGGAAGCGTGAGGCGTATGGGCGGGCTTTCCATATTCACAACAACTCAACAAGATGGCGGATCAGGCGAGGCAGCAAGCGTTCATTTACTTGGTTCATAAAGTTCTTGAACGACGGCGTGCACGACGGCGTGTCTGGGTTCACAATATCCTCCAGAGACGGTCAGAGTATGGCGAGTTCCACCATTTGTTACAAGAGCTGCGGCTGGATGAGGTGCTATTACAGCGGCACTTCCGTCTCACGGTGGCCCAGTTCGATGACCTGTTGGGCCGCGTAGGTGCACGAATCTCTCACCAAGACACCAACTACAGACGTTCCATCTCTCCTGCAGAGCGCCTCTCCATCTGCCTACGGTCAGTAATTGTGTGTGTGAGTGTGTGTCTTTGTCTCTGTGTGTGTGTTCGGTCGGTTTGTGTGTGTCTTTGTCTCTGTGTGTGTGTTCGGTCTGT